GGTCCGCCGGTCCGCTGGTCCGCTGGTCCGCCGGTCCGCTGGTCGGCTTGGACGGTAAGGGGATCGTGAGTGGAAGCTGATCGCCCGAACGCAGCGAGGCTCGCGCGCACCGGCGCGGTGGGGCTGGTGGTTCCGGTGGTTGGAGGCGATGTGCAACGTGGTGATCTGTGGCGCGTTGGGGCTGTGGATCGTGCGCTGGGACTGGTGGTTGGGCCTCTGGGTAGTGGTCTTCATCGGCCCGGCTTTGTGTCGGTGGAAGGGAAAGCTCTTCCAAGAGCCCATGCTGTTGATCGCAGCGCGGGGACCTCTACACGTCTTTGGGGCTCTTCTTCGATTCATCAGTCTAACGCTGGGGATCCTGATTGTCTATGCCGGCACGCTGGATATCCCAACGGCGCATTACTTCCAGTGCGAGCAGAGGTGGTTGACCTCTGATCCCAGTGGTTGGGATCCGCCCTGTTGGCTTTTGGACAGTTCCTTTTTGCATTGGGCGCATGATGTTGGTGCTTGGATTCCCGTGGTAGGTGCTTGGGTGCCGTTCATAAAGATCAACCCTTGGTTCAAAGACATCAACCGGAAGCTGACTGGCTGGTTGGGGCACCAGCGCTGGGAATGGGGATTTGGTTCTATCTCCGCAGAAGACCTCCTGTGGGCGGCGCTTATGATGACGTTTTGCGCGGCAGTCATCTACATCTTGATCTCGATGATGTACCTTTGGGTCCACGTGTTCAGCTCTTGTTCAGGCCGGAAGTCGTGGATGAAAAAGAAACGAACGGATGAAGTCTGTTTGGCTTGTTGACTGAGGTGTTCATCGTGGGGTGGTAGACCTCAGTCACCGAACATCTCATTGGCAACAAGACTTGGTGGTTCCCAGCATCGGGTCTTATTCAACAACGTCACAGCGTCAACCTGTTGCCGACACACCCAAGCATCCTGGTATTCCATCCCTGGCAGCTGCCTGTTGCGTAGTTGCCTGTTGCTTCACAAAGGGTTGGTTTTGGATCAGTTCTCCCTTTTGTACGAGGGTCTGGATACAATCCAGTTCTGAGAGTAGAATGATTTCAGACGTGTGGGAAAGAAACCCATCAAATTATATTAGATAGTAATTTACATAGGTGCTTGCCCCGCTTGGACTTTCTGTAGTTTTCTTGGACTTTCTCGGCCAATTTACCCTCTATGTGCAACAGTTGACGGATTTTTGATGGATGGTTGATGCGCTGTAGTCCCAAGGTGCTTGAGATGTTGTTGCTGTTGTCTGACCCAATCAGCAAAACAGGCCAAACCAGCACTGACGAGTTGATGAGGAAGAATGAGCTTTGGAAGCAGGTGACAGACCTCATGGAACAAGAGAAGATACAGCCAGGCGGCTGCTGAAACGATACTTCTGCCATCTGCGCTAGAAAGAGTTTTGTTTGCAGACATGAGCATTCGGGGCTCAAATAGGAAGATTCAACTACTTTCTTGAGGGGTCATACAACCACCCATCTCTCCCATAGGCTCTAGGTTTGTTTTCATTGACTATTCTGATGGAGGTTTGCTGCAATGAACGTAACTAAACAATACAACTTCAGAACATGCATTTTGTATCTCATGCAGGGCAAATGATGCTTCCAGATGCTCTTGATCTAGAAGTTGGCTTTGATGCCAAGAGGCCTTTCAGGAGCTTGTGGGTCAAAGTTGCCCTGATGTTCCTGGACATCATCTTGGATTTTAACACCATCTTCCTGTTGCTGGCCTGTAGGATGTATCCCTTTGCCTTTGCGATGACTTTGGTGATCTCTTACACCATCATGCACCAGGTAAGTGAGTGGTGGGTGGGCAAGCTGGGCTGATAGCTTTGCGACAGGTCAACCAGCCGTAGCTTTTTGGTGAATAACGAGTTTGTTAGGATTTTCACGTGCCTCCAAAATGATTTGTTACAGTAAGTCTTGACTTGTTTATATTTGGTTCAAGAATGGGGACTGACTATACCCTCAGTCGTTGTTCATCAGCTGGAAATACCAGCATTGCGAAGGCTTGAACATGCAGAGACCCAAGAAGGTTCCTGTCATGAAGTTCACTCCCGCAAACAAATAGAGAATACCTTCCTGCCCCATACAATCTCACTTTGGTCATTGACTCCCTGCAGGTCTTCTTTTGCAATCTGCTGCATGTCGTTGAAGCGACACGCCAGAGCGTACAGCGAGGTGTCATGAGAAACGACTTGGTGACACTCCATGGAGAGAGAGGCTTCGAAGCCTTCTTTTCGCTTTGTATCACGTCCTATAGCCTGGTGTATTGCGTGAGGGGCTCAGCTGGTTTTCGGGGCTCACCCTGCTAGATCTCAGGAATGCCAAGCCTGTTTAGTTGGAAATCACGTGAGTCACACGTGCGACATGTGTTGGGTCTATCCTATTACCTGTAACAGTCAGTAAACAACTATCACTATTTTTGGAGAAGGCCTAGTACCTAACCATCATCATCCACTGGGCGCTAGATGACATGGATAGGCCCAAGACATGTGAGTCAAGTTGCGTGGAGCTGCTCGGGTTTGGCTTTTCGTCCATGAGTCCCCCAAGTGGATTCATGGGTTTTGGATGCCTTTGTGACGGGTTCCCAGCTTAGACTTCTTAGACCCAAGACTGTGTGAAAGTGGGCGAACACATCTGATTTTTCTGCAGACGTAGCTGAGGTGAACAGCTTGTTTGAAGCCTTTACACAGCTCTTGAGCCTGACGCTGTCCATCTACATGATCGCCTGGCACCTTGATGAGCTTTTAGACGAAGACCTGGACGAAGACGCAGAGTTTGAGGTCGTGGAAGGGGAGGATTCGGATTCGATGCCGTCTTTGTCTGACTCCAATTCATCTTCGGAAGTGGCATCGACTCCGGGGACCGAAAGAGGGACTATCTCAGGCAGAGGGACTAGCTCAGGTGAAGCTGATGGACCGATGTGACGCGCGTTTGGACTGGGGCGTCCCACATGAAAAAAAAGAACATGCGAGAAAGCTTGCTTCAAGCTGGAGATCTTTGATTTGGACTAGGTGAGTTGGTAAACCATGTCCAAGTAAGATTATACTGGCAGGAACAGATACTGCTGTAGATCTGAGGTAGATGTCCCCTTTGGGCAGGCCCGATGGATGACCCTGATGGCCTCATAGTGCCTGTTGATTGGTTCACATTGCCAGTTCAGAGTCCATGGCACCTCAACCCAGCCTGAGCGCAATCTCACTATCAGCATCTACTCTAAAATCTCTAAAACCACCAAGATCAGCCCAGTCCAAGAGAAGCTGAGTCCGAAATAATCCAGTCGCTTTAAGCCCCGATAGCAGGTGACGCATGACTGCGGACGCAGCCGCAGTCATGCGGTCCTGCGGCACCATGGAGGCGTCATGAGAGCAGACTGATGGCTGGAAGTGGGTGGATCTTAGTGAGACAAGGCACTGATGCAAAGGATTCCATCCGGGGGATTCTATGATTTCATCTCTCAGCTGGGGGTGAAGGGGGGATTCTAAACATCTATAGATGTGGCACATGATGTGACCTCTAAAGGCTGAAGTCTGACAGGCTACGAAAGCCTGACAGGCTTTCCCATGGCTGAAGCAGTCATGTTTGAACGAAGTGGGGGATGGAAGACAGAAGCATTTGGTAGAATACCATGGTCTGGGGTTGCCCGTTCTTACCTGTAACAGTGGGTAAACAAGCAATTCACGATTTTAGAGATGTGGGCCTGCAACCTAACAATCATCATGGGCCCTGGTTAATAGGATAGACCCTAACCCTAACCATGGTGCAAAAGGTGGCGCAGAGAGGTTTTTCGATCGCTGCATCGCTGGGATCACTGAGATATATAGTGCTGCAAGGATGACTTGGGGATGGCGAGGGCCAGATGAATGAGATGTATGGATGGATGGATGGAAGGATGGATGCTATGGATGGAAAGGAGGGGCGGATGCATGGCGATGCTATGGTACGTCTCTGATCTACCCGGTGCGGTGCAACCTCGCTCGCTCGCTCGCTCGCTCGCTGGTCGCGGTCCAAACAGATGTGTTCGTGGCGACCTGAGACCGAGACCGAACGCCACGGTTTCAGGTGACGAAGATCCGTTCCTTGTTGTCAAGTGACGTTCTGTGGTGTTCTGTGGTGTTCTGTGGTGTTCTAAGAAGGGTCACACATCACTCCAAGAGGGACGTTCAGACGTCAGCAGCACCCAGAAGGAGTGAAGCAGGCAGTAGTGAGCGGGATTACTTCTAGGTGTGTCATATGTTGTGCAGACTTATATACTAGTTGTGAGATGTTCTGTGAGAGTTCTTGCATCTCCGGCCTTTCTGTCGAAGCGGTACCATCTCTGTAGCTCTACACCAATCTCACGTCGGCGCAGGCCTTCCAATGACATGAGAAGGCTGCAGTAGGACATCTACCGAGCAAGTAGGACACCCCCTGCAGTCCTTTTTCTTTTCAGCGATCGGAGCTGCCGCGCTGCCGAGCTGCAGTGACACTGACCTTTTACTGGGTTCCACCTGTTCCGTGGGTCGTTGGGATGGGCTATGGCATTTTCTGGAGACCATGTGGATTCAACAAAGAACATCCAGAACGATTGGAGGGGTTCGAAGGGTTCGAAGCACTCTGAAGTCAAAGCAAACGTTTACTTTTTCCGCCCGAGCCGGCTCTGCACAGCTCCGTTTCGGGAGCACACCTTCTCATGTTTGAACACAGTCGCATCACTGAATGGGTGGTCGGAGCCAAATATCTACCGCGCTTTTACAGGTTGGGAACGTTGCAACCATCCTCCCTATGTTGCAAAACCTGAGACGAGCACTGCCTCTGCCTGGTCAGACCCCATACCACCTCTGCAGGCCGTGAGGCGGGAGGCTCCCATCGCAAGCAGCAGCTTCGTCCGACTTCGGACCACCTGCTTCGTCGTGGAAGCGTCCGCCAGAGGCCCAGCATCGTGGAAGTGTTGGAAAGTGATCGCCGAAGTAAAGACATTCAGCGCCCGAAGATGGTGCAAAAAACTGCAATTTGTCTTCGGATTTAAGCTTTTCCTGGAATCTATAGTGGGGTCAAAGCCTTGGGCCTTCATCACAATTCATCACATAACATATACAAAAAAAACTGATCTAATGCTTTTGTGTGTTCCCCACATAGCTTGAACGACAGTTTGAGTTGATGAATCTGGACATTATGGGTTCGGAACACTGGGTTTGATCGAGGGTGCTCATCGGCGGGTGCGGCCAATTCGCTGCTATTTCTGGCGCAACTCATGCCTCCAGAGATCTTCGAAGTGCACGTGAACTGCGTATGCTCGGGTGCTTTTTCTCGACTGCGCTCTTGTAGGTGTAGCGCCGGTTGCGCATCTTCGGGCTTGGGCTTGGTGGTCACTTTTCGTTGGCAGGCGCAGGTCCACAGTGGACTTTTCGCGGGCAGACGCAGGAAATCGGAGCCGTGGAGGACTTCGAAGCGCCTTGGACCTGGTGGGTGGTTTGTGGCAAGCTTTGTGCAGCTGCTAACGGTATGGTTGGTTTGGGGCAGATGTGTAGCTTACTTGCATTTGATCCACTTGGTTGTTCAACTGTTTTTGATTTGGAGCAGTGAAGGAGCAGTGAAGCGTGAGCTTGGGACATGTGCCTCGTTTCAGCATTTGGGCGATGTAGGGCGATAGACCTCGCGCGATGTTCGCTTCGTTTGGACATCACGCGATGGTTGTCTTTCGAAATGCTTTTGTTGCGGGGCGCACTGGCAGGGCTGCGGGATGTGAATCATGATGTGCAGATTTCGTGGCAGACACATGCGCCACTTTCTGCACCCAAGTGCAGATCTCGTGGCAGGCGCTGTGCTTGTAAGCCGGACCTTGAAGTGCAAACATGTGTTCTTTGCTCATATGTCTGTGCTGTCATGTGAGTACTTTCATATGTATTCTCTCTGTGGTCTGTGCTCCCAGTCGTTCGTTTGCTCAAAAATGTGATCTTAGGGGTGCTTTCCCATGTGTGCTCTCGTATGTAATGTCTCACATGTGTGTTCGCGCATGACTTCTCTCAGGGTTGTAGGAGTTCGGCCGCATCCCAGGCCGAAGAAGAGTCTCATTTTTCGAGCCCTGACTGGCCCACAGAGGCTGTGCCCAGTGGATGTATGTGGCACCAAGTTCCAAGAAATCTGCTCACTGACATTTCTGCATTCTCAAACCGAATCGTAGTCATGTCAAAGTTGTTTGGGACTTACAGTGTTTTTGAGACCTGTTGCTTCTTGTCCGGTGCTGTTTCCAGATGTCCCAGGTCTTTCCTGGTGCGAGCTACAAAACCTTCATACAATTTCTACTTGAGTGGCTGGCTGTTCCAAGTGGAGCAAACATTGTTGCATATTGTTGCAACACTTGGTATTTTCATGATAACACCAAACATGCAGCCAGAGTACTCGGCCGATCCGTGTCTTGGGCCGTGCGCATGGCTTGGCTGGCAGGGTGCGCCAATGCTTCAAAGGCGGTGTTTTTGCTGGCACTATTGTCACCCAGATGCTTTTGTTGCGTTGCACCTTGTTTTGAGATCGCGCTTGGAGCTCTTGGTGTCTCGGGAAGAAACTTGGCAGCGCCCGCAGCTGCTTTCATTGACTACCAAAAGAACTGGAATGCTTCGTTGGCTGCTCGGCTAGGTCCCCCCATCGTCACCATCCCTGGTGGAGTGCATCCCAATGCAAGTTTTGGAGCCATCAGTTTGCATATGGAAAGAACGTTTGGAACACAGGAAGTGGGAATGGCTGCAGCCTTGGACTTGATGTCTGGTCAGACGGGTGAGAAACCGGTCGTTGGATTGATCGGCCCCTCGTATTCATCAGTCTCAATGCCAATTGCCACTGTGGCTGCTGTTCGGCAGATTCCCCAAGTATCATGCTGTGCAACCAGCCCTGCATTGTCCAACAAGGACTCTTACCCCTTCTTTCTTCGAACTGTGCCGCCCGATACCATCCAGGCACGTGCCTTGTGGCATTGGATTAGACATTTCGAGGTTCCAATAGCAGCTTGCCTCTATTCAGCCGAGGGCTATGGACAAGGTCTTTTTGATGAACTCAAGGAGCTTGCCCGGGTCGACGGTCAGCAAGACCGCGTGCAGGGCCAAACCCTCCGTGACATGCAGCAAGAATTTGTTGCAGAAGAGGCCCGTACTTCAGTAAGGCTCCTCAAACAGATCGGCTCTCGCTTTGTCGTACTGCTCGTGGGCTGGCACTTGGCTGCGCCCCTCCTTGACATCCTCGATGAGGAGGAGATCTTGAGCCCAGCTTGGCAAGTGCTGGGGTCAGAGACCATAGCAGATTCCATTGCTGCCAAAAAGACAGTCGGTTTCATGTACTTTCTGCCCTCTGGCAAAGGTGCCAAGTTTCCAGACTTACAGCGGCTTTGGTCACTGCTCGGACCACAAGACATCTACGGCACAGACCAGATGCGGGTGGCCATGGGCCTGTTCGGGAACGAGGGCTTCACTGAAGGTGAATGGCTGAATTTGCTGGGAAAAAAGCATCAACCAGTACTAGCGCAGTGATATGAACCGAATTGGTTTCTGCTTTGGTCGATTGGGTTCCGACTGGACTTTAGCATGTTGTTGCCCTGTTTACAGATGCCCAGGAAGCACACCGCTGTATGAGAGGGATCCCAGCCGAAGCAAGATCTACGTATGCCGTACACGTAATTTTCCTGCATACTGCATCTGCATCTGCGTGCACATAGACATAGACAAGGTAGATGCAGACATGCGTTTTTGGGGCATCGCCGCTCCGGTTGGCCCTTTCTTCTCCGCCCGGTCCAGTCGGCCGAGCGCAGGCCTTGTCCCGGTCTGCGCGTCCCGCGGCCATCTGTGTCGGCCCGTTTCCCTTTCTCCACCGCCGGGCGTCCGGATTTGCTGTTTTGTAGTCAACTTTTATGTACCCCTAGCATGTAACAGCATTACCACATGTACAGTCATTTCATTCAGTCACGGTTCACCAAGTACATGTAAAACACATGTGCCGCCCGTGACCTATTGGCTCAAGAAAATTGGGCGTCCGCTCGGTTTTCTTCAGGGCGCCGGGTTTGTTGACCTGTGGTCGGCTTTCCCTTTTGTCGCGTTCTCGCTTCCGCACCTTCGTCAACTCGCTTCCGTTCGTTCGTTTGGGAACCCAGGTGTCGGATTCCCATCGCTCTCGTTTCGCCTCGCTGTGTCTCTAGGGATCTTGCATATTTCTTTTGCCAGTTGCCCCTCCATAGTATTTCCTGGGCTATTCCCCATCTACCCGGCGGCTTAGCCAATTCATTGGTTATCAGCCGTATCCGCTCGGATACGCAAGCCCTTGCCCCCATCGCAGCTCGCTTTTCCATCCTGCGACTTGCTGTCATGGGCTGAGTCCATCCTCAACCGCGCTTCGTCTTCTTCGTCAATGGCCGCCGCCGCGGCCGCAGCACCGGTTGAGGGCCCCGAAGTGGCTGAAACCGCGCCGTGCGCGGGTGCCACGGACCAAGAGCAAGCGGAGGTGGCATCAGAGCCTCCTGCTGCTCCCCGGGCACCGTCCGGAATCTCTCGCAACTTACATTCACTCCGCCAGGCTCGGTAACCGCTGGCCTTGCGGAAGAGGAAGACCAAGTTCCACCTGACGCTTCAGCCTCAGAGGCCCCAGCCGAACCTAACGATTTGCTCGAGCCGTCCATTAACCGGCAAGAGTCAATTAACATTAATTAACACCATTCACGAATTCTCCATCGCAGCTGAGCTCCCAGAAGGAACCGCTGCTTTGCGCGGAGATTCTGTGGATGCTCCCAGCCGTTCGATAGGCCCTGATAACGCCGAGCTTGACCAACCGTTCGACGCCTTTTCACTCCTCCGTCCACCAAAGGACGAACCTGAAGCAGAGCTCGAAGACCAAGAGTCGTATGCTCTCCCTTCGATTGATGCCACAGGTCTCCCTATATCCACTCATCAGATCCCCAACCAAGAATCGCCCCATCAAGAAAAGATGGCCCCTCATGACCACCAGCAAAGCCATCGTAGACATGTTTTCACAATTTCAATGTCCCCATAAGCCACACGAGCGTGATCATGCAGTCGGTTCCCAAACTGCCTGCGCAGCATTCTGTCCCAGACAGATGACTGTTCAGATAGCCAAGGCCTTGTGCCCTAATATAACATGTTGCCCTAATGCGCCTGCCGTGCCATGTTTTCCATGTAAACATGATTTGGAGCATCGGGAAAAGGAGCAAGTGCTGAAGCATGTGTCCGCTCTCGCAGGGGTGGATGCAATGGCTGTTGCAGTCGAGACTGAAACTGTCGATCAGATGGTAGAGTGTTTAATGGACATCAATGGTCTAACGCATGAAGCCTACCAGATCCCAAAGACCGATGCCGGTAAAGATCAGGTAGATGCATTGGTCACCAAGCTCCTTACATGTACCGAGATGCTCAACGACCCCGAAGCCTTGCAAAAGGTGGATTGGTGGATGAAGGCACTTGGGAATACGAATCGAGCGCAGGAGAAGGAGAAAGTCCGGGCTGAAGCTAAGGCTTCCGGAGTCTACGTCCACTTCGGAAAGTTTATGACCATTAAGAGGGTGCGACGACCCAGCCTTAGAATGTCGACGCGAACGAACAGGCAGCCGACATATTTACGAAAGCTTTGGCCCCTCAGAAATGGTTTAAAGCTTTGTGCTTACTCGGAATTCGTACCGACTTAAATAGTTTAATCCCATCTAAAACGGGATTTCGACCAGTTCGTAGCTTCGCAGGTCGTCGTAGCCGCTGCCATCCGGCGCGGTAGTTCGTGCATGTATAAAGTGATGCTGCCGCACATCGGGGAGGGGGGGGGTCAACTTGTATGTGCCCCTAGCATGTAACAGCATTACCACATGTACAGTCATTTCATTCAGTCACGGTTCACCGAGTACATGTAAAACACATGTGCCGCCCGTGACCTATTGGCTCAAGAAAATTGGGCGTCCGCTCGGTTTTCTTCAGGGCGCCGGGTTTGTTGACCTGTGGTCGGCTTTCCCTTTTGTCGCGTTCTCGCTTCCGCACCTTCGTCAACTCGCTTCCGTTCGTTCGTTTGGGAACCCAGGTGTCGGATTCCCATCGCGCTCTCGTTTTGCCTCGCTGTGTCTCTAGGGATCTTGCGTATTTCTTTTGCCAGTTGCTCCTCCATAGTATTTCCTGGGCTATTCCCTATCTACCCGGTGGCTTAGCCAATTCATTCTTGTAGCCAAAAATGCAACCGTGATGCAGGGAAGGAGGGGGCAGGGCGTGCAAAAAATTGTCTTTCATTTACATGCTGTTCCCAAGCAGCTGGAGGCTATAGGAGTTGATCCAAAAAAGATACAGCTGAAGAACTATTTTGGGGTCTATGCTGGTATAATCCATACCTTACATTTGCCTAACATGCACCACATCCATCAATGCGTCCATATGTCCATAGTTGGGTGACGTCCTGATGTAATGTACTTGCATGCTGTGCTTTCTGATCTACTTTTCCTCAGTGAAGACAGTGGTTCAGACCTTCAAGTGGCCTTCCAGCTGGCTGGTCTGGCTCTCTGTGCGTCCGGGAGGTCTGTGTGTTCGTGCGCACCTGGTGTGATGTTTTGTATTGGGTATTTCATACGGAACCAAAGCTAGTGCGTCGGCACTGCTGCGCGTCGGCGCTGCAGCGCGTCCGTTGCAAGTTGCGCCCCTCGAAACCATACCACTTAGTATCGGCACGGCGGGGCCTGTGGGTACAAACTGTGCAGACCCGCGGCCTGAACTTGCCTGCGAAGGGTTCCTGTTTTGAGAAGGTCATCTACGGTACGGTGGCAGTTCACAATTCCGCTGCTCGCCAGGTGAAGCTTCTAGCTTGACTCCAAGCGATTCCTTTCACTTCGATGCAGTCTACACCTTCATCGTCGCCATCAACCAGTTGCTTGCTGAAATGGATCCCAGTGCAATCAAGGGCCAGGTTCTTTTAGAACAAATGCGCCGCGTGCGCTTCACGGGTGCCTCGGGCGAGGTGAGCTTTAATGAGAATGGTGACCGCTTCGGAACCTACGAGCTCATGAACATCCAGTCAGATGCTTGGGTTTTGCGGATCAGGGGGATGTTTTATTTTCCCAAACTGGGTGAAACCCAACCTGATGAATATGAAAAACATTGTATGTTTACTTTTGAGGCTTCCAACAGCGGCAAGTCCAAGGATGGCAGAGCCATTGCTATCGCCTCCTTCAGTTCTCTCACTTTGAGTTTCACATTTCACCACCAGCCAATCTGGATGGATGGAGGGGTGCGCAGCATGCCCCCACAGGAGCTCTACTCTTGCGAGCCTGGTTTCTACTGGGAAGACCAGTCGAGACAGTGCAGGAAGTGTCCGAAAGGCACGATGTGTGTGGGAGGAGCGACCGCTTCGTTGATGTC